AGTGCTTTGAACCATTTTGAATTGATTTTTGTTTGCAGTATGATATAAACATCAGTCTTTTTATATGTGAATTTCTGATTGTCCCACCTGCATTTGTTTTTTTTTTGCCTCACCAGCTTTTTGCCTCATTAATAGTCTTGACACCTTTGTCAGAATTAGTTGAGGCTGGGCCAGAGATAGCTCAGCAGTCTAAATCGCCTACTTAGGCAAGTGCAGGGACCATGGTTTGATCCCTGGTACCACATGCCACACCAGTCCTGTCCCCAGGGTGGGCTGAGCCAGCCACAAAAAAATAAATAAATAAATAAATAAAAAAAATCAGTTGAGTCTGGGCATGGTGGCACATGCCTAGAATCCCAGCACTCAAGAGGCTGAGGCAGGAGGATCACTGTGAGTTGAATGCCAGTCTGGTAAAAGGGGTAAGGTAAAGAAGGCAAAAAAAAAAAAAAAAAGTCCAAGAAGGGCCAGCCCCACTGCAACAAAATCCTGTCCTGGTTAGAGGAATTGGTCGATACTCCCGATCTGCCATGTATTCCAGACAGGCTTTCTACAAGAGAAAGTACACAGCTGCTAAGTCAAAGGTTGAGGAGAAAAAGGAGAAAGTTCTTGCTATGATCACAAAATTGGTCAGTGGGGGCAAGAATGGAGGTATGTGGTTAAGCTCAAAAAATGGCTAAAGACTACCCTACTGAAGATGTGCCCCAAAAGCTCTTGAGCCACAGCAAGAAACTCTTCAGTCAGCATGTGAGGAAACTTCGAGCTAGGATCACTCCTGCTACCATCTTGATCATCCTCACGGGGTGTCAGAGAGGCAAGAGAGTGGTCTTCCTGAAGCAGTTGGCCAGTGCTTGCTACTTGTGACTGGGCCTCTTAGCCTTAATTGTGTTCCTCTACGAAGAATACACCAGAAATTTGTCATTGCCACCTCTACAAAAATTGACATCAGCAAAATGAAAATCCCCAAACACCTCACTGATGCTTACTTCAAGAAGCAGCAGCTGCGGAAGCCCAGACACCAGGAGGGCGAGATCTTCGACATCGAGAAAGAGAGATACCAGATTTCAGAGCAGCGCAAGGTAGATCAGAAAGCAGTGGACTCAGAGATTTTAGCAAAAATCAAAGCTGTTCCTCAGCTCCGGGGTTACTTGCGATCCATTTTTGCTTTGTCAAATGGAATTTATCCTCATAAATTAGTGTTCTAAATTTCTTACTAAGATCTCTTTTTTTTTGGCGGAACCAGGGATTGAACTCAGGCCCTTGCGCTTGCCAGGGAAGCGCTTATTCCACTGAGCCATCTCCCCAGCCCAAAGATCCTAATTAAATACCTGATACATTTTTTAAAAAATCTGATACTACAAAAAGTAATATAGTCTCCTAACTCATTTAAGTAGAGAATTTTGTGGCTTGAAACTTAACCAAGTTTTATTCTTTTCCCTTTTAGGAGAATACAACTCTAAAATACCTAAGAATGACTGGAAATAAGATTGAAAATAAAGGTGGAATGTTTTTTGCTGCAATGTTGCAAATTAATTCATCTTTAGAGAAATTAGATCTGGGAGACTGTGATCTGGTAAGCAAACTCGTTTCCCCAGAAATCAGCACAGAGAAATGTGGTCAAGATACCAGCTGAGGCTGGGGAGACAGCTCAGCAGTCCAAGCTCCTGCTTGGCAAGTGCAAGAAGCTGAGTTCAATCCCCAATACCCAGAATGCCTGTGGGCCCCACCCAGGGCGCCCAGTGGCTGCCGGAACCAGGCGTGGTGGCGCCTGCCTGTAATCCTAGCGCTGGGGAGGCTGGGACAGGAGGATCACTAAGAGTCTGACCTGGAGTCTAAGCTGCGTAGCAAGACCCTGTACCAAATAAATAATTTTTTTTTTTAAAGACACCATTCAAGTGACAGGCTTCCGAATAGCTAATCTTCTCCCTGCTGTCATAGTGTACAGACTACTGATGAAATCAGATTAAATATAAAAGAATCATCCAGTTTAATAAAAATAATCCTTTCTGTCCATAGCTTATGTTAACTTGTATGGGATTTCATTTTGATTAAACATTGTTTTATTGGTAGAATATAAATTTCTTCCTTTGAAATATTCTGAAGTATTTATATTGTACTATAAAATCTTAAAACTGATTATACCAAAAGCTACTCTGAACCTTCGTCTGGCCTGATCATGAGAAAGGTGGTTTCCTCATGTTTTTGAAGTCTAGGTTTGCTTTCTCCAGTGTGTTCCATTCTTGAGGCCTTAGGAACTTGACATAAAGCCTCAGATGAGCGTCAGGTCACTGGGGCACAGAGATAATTACGAGGGGCCAAGAGGCTGTCTGGGGTGACAGCGTCTGACGGGCCGGCTATCTTTCGACCTAGTAGAGGCAGCTAGTATGGTTCTGGGAGGCACTCATTATTTATTGCTGACCTGTATCAGTCACTGTCCAAGATGCCAGAGGTGTCACAGTGAATCAGATAAAGCCTCTGCCCTCATGAAGCTGATATTTTAGTTGGGGAAACACAATGAAAAAGTAGAGTGCTGTAAATGTGACCAAGCACTCCAGTAATGGGGAGCTGGTGTTGTCCGATAAGATGCTTGCCTGGGGTGTGAGGAGGTGCTATTGAGGAGTCAGGAAGGATGAGGAAGACGGTCCTGGAGACTGCCACGGTGGTGTAGCCCAGGCGGCAGATCCAGCATGCATGAACCGTTCTCTGCACGGGCGCTCGGGGTCCTAGAGAATGAGGAAATCTTAATACGCGTGTATTTATTTTTCACAGGCTCTTTATGTTAAGGGAGTGTGTTCTTTTTATGGCAATGACACAAAGTTTTATTTCAAAATAAATATAAATGAATGGATCTAGAGCTGGGTGTGGTGACGCACACCTGTGATCCCAGCACTTGGCAGGCCGAGGCAGGAGGATTGCCGTTGAGTTTGAGGTCAGCCTGGGCTACATAAGTGAATGCAAGGCCAGCCTGCACTACATAGTGAGATCTTGTCTCAAAAAAGATAAAATAAGTAATCAGAATGTGTTGAGCAAATAATAAAGCATTATTTGGTAAATCCTTTGCATATTCAGATAGGACAACAGCCATGAGGGAGGCACGCGAAAAGTCCTGAGTCTGAAAGATTGCAAAAAAACTGGCAAGTCCACGTGTTTAAGCAGAGGGAGAGGAGAGTGCAGTGGACGAGGAGAGCTTCGTGGAGGCCAGGCAGGCAGGCGGTATGGCGCACGGGCCGGCCGCGCATCAGGGCAAGAAAGGAGGCTTGTTAAATGCAGAACAGGGACGGGCTTTTATACTGAGAGGTGACATGATCGGATTGGCGCATTTATTTATTTATTTATTTATTTATTTATTTATTTATTATTTTTGGTACTGAAAATCGAACTCAGGACCTTGTGCTTGCCAGGCAGGCTCTGTGCCGCTGAGCTACAGCTCCGGCCTGATTCGGTGCTTTGAAAAGATCCCTGTGGCTTTTCCATGAGGTGCTAGAGGGCAGTTAGAAGCCGATAGCCACTGAGGCAGGCATTGGAGTTGTCTAGGTGAGTGATTCCTGGGGCAGGAGTGGTGGCCATAGACGGGGACAAGAGCAGGCGGATTTCAAACACCTTTTGGGGGCAGAATGTGTAAGACTTACTGACCAGGTGGATGGGAGGCTAAAAGGAACATAAGAGAGGATGTTTTAAATATATTTTAGAGCAGGGAGACAGGAGTACAGTATCACTTTATTTCTGAATTTGACTGATTTACAATTCAAAGAGCAAGAAATACTTATACTTTCAAAAATATAATTTTCTCAGAATTCATATAATAGGCTTTGAAATATTTATTCATTCACGTGGCCTGTCATGTTCCTTAATGAGTTTGCCTGTTCTTAGGGCATGCAGAGTGTGATAGCGTTTGCCACAGTACTAACTCAAAACCGAGCAATGAAGGGAATGAACTTAAGTCGACCCATACTCTATGGTGAACAGGTATGTATTCAGAAAGGTAGAAATTAACGTTAACATGAATGGAAGTAAAGTTCTTCGCATTTATGATTCATGAGGACATTGTATTTTTAGGAATATCCTTGTTAACTAGACACAAGCCATAACAGATGTTACAAACTATAACTTACAAATGAAAAACTCTTAATTTTAAGAGAAATTAAACTGGGCTTGGTGGTGGGACCCTGTCTCAAAACAAAAATGAGAAAGGCTGGGGGTATAGCTCAGCATGAAGACCCCGAGTTCAATCCCCAGTACTGCCAAATATTGATAGATAGATAATATATATATATAATTAGACTTTTATAACTAAATATACTTTTAGACGTTGCTTACTGAAGCAGCAAACAGTCATTGTTTCTCCTGAAACTTGAGGTCAGGGTCAACCAGGGAGGGTCAGAGCAGCTGAGGGAAAGCACACATGGTCACAGTGCTGATGGCTGGAAATTAGCAGCGTGCTGTGGACTGTCTCACTGTTCATATAGCTGAGCCACCTGAATCATGCCACCTCTGAAGCCTGAGCCTAACGGTGCAATGTGCCTGAGTAGCACTTGGGCAGGTCCGAATGTGATGCTCCTATCTGTAAGGGGAGGCTGGACATGGAAAAATACACAAACGATTGATTCCTTTGGGCTTCTTGGTCCGTAACATCCTTTTGGGTGGCTTCTTCTACCAGTTGTAAAAAGCTAGGAAATAGGAACTCATTTCATTACTCATCTAAACCTTGCTTGTCCAGTTGTCAGCTTGTCTGGATCATACTGAGTGAACAGAAATTGTCTTAGGTCACATATAAAAAATATAGTTAATTTATCTAAGTAACAAAACCCCTTTTATTTTTGAGTTCCAAAATTAAATAAGAAAACTTACATGCTTACTACCAATAAATGCCTGTCTTCATAGTCATATGCACATGTATTAGGTTGAAATCTACTAGGGGTAACTGTTGTGTTTTACTCCCTAAATTGCACAAGGGCCTGTAATGTCTGATACACATGAGTTTCAATTCACGCCTGTAACCCCCGCATTTGGAAGGCTGAGGCAGGATTGCTGGAAATTGGAGGCCAACCTGGGCTTCATAGCCAGTTTAAAGCCAGCCTGAACTATATAGTGAAACACTATCTCATAAAAACCAAAACAATAATTCAACTGTGTCTGGCAAGCTCAAGAAGTAGAGTTAGTATGTTTTTTTTTTTTCAGAACTGGGGATTGAACTCAGGCCCTTGCGCTTGCCAGTAAAGTGCTTATTCCACTGAGCCATCTCCCCAGCCCCCCTGAGTTAGTATGCATTTTAAGTATAACTTTTTATATTCATAAGTATATCTTGCATCCCCTGCCTGTGTAGATCTCTCCCTCTGAATTATCTCTGTATTTTTTCTGTACAAGTTTTTTGGAGTTTGACATCATACTGTAAATCTAAGCTGTCCAATGAGCCACCCAGAGACCTCAAATAATAGGAACATACTTAAATTCATAAAAATCTTTTATTTATTTATTTGGTACAGGGTCTTTCTACATGACTTGGACTCATAGTGATCCTCCTGTCTCAGCCTCCCAAGCCCAGGGATTATAGGCATGTGCCACAATGCCCAGCTTTGGTGGCTGGCACAGCATGCGGTGTGCAAGGGATCAGACCAGGGTCCTTGTGCTTGCCAGGCAGGCACTTAGACCTCCAAGCTATCTCCCCAGCCCAATAGGAACATATATGAAAAATTGACTCGGCCCGTGAGTCGAGACATGGGGTAATGACCTGGAGGAGGAACGGGGATGAACAAGACAGGGCAAGAGACACAAGAGACGGAGACAAGACAGGCTTTCTGATCAAGTCTCGTTTATTGAGGACATGAACAGGGTCTAAATAGCTGTACAGTGGAAGCAGTTGGGTGGGACTAGTTGTGGATTGGTAGTGGAGGTCCAGGACCACAGGAAGATGTCGAGGCAAGTGGGGATTGGTGCTGCAGCACTTCTTGCCCAAATAAGGGAAAATATAACAGGAGCATCCTATCGCCCCCCCACAAAAAATACCTAAAACACCATCACAAGTCTCCTGTCAGTGAGTTGCTTCTTTCGTGATTTATTCACCCAATATTTGAATGTTACCGCAAAGTAGACAGACTGCTGCATGCAAGAGACACAAAATCAAATGAAGCACACGACCACTATGTATTAGTCACCTTCCCCCTGATGAGATAAAACCTGGAAAACACAGCTGAAAGGATGAAGGATTTATTTTTCAGAAACTTCAACCCATGCTTAGCCAACTCCAAGGCAAAACATCATAGTGGAAGAGCACGGCCAAAGAAAGCTGCACACTGCATGGTACCCAGGAAGCCACGGGGGAAAGAAAGAACCAGAGAATAGATATGCCTGCCATTCTTCAAAGGCATTCCCCAGTGACTTTCTTCTTCCAATACCTGATAGTTCAGTCAGCTATGGTTTTGCAGTGGGCTAATTCACTGATAGGGTGAGCATCTTCAAAATCCAGATTTGAAGATTAAATTTAAAAAATTCTAGGGCCAGCCAAGTGCTCAGCGGATTAAAGCGCCTTCAAGCAGGAGCAGGGGCCAGGGGTTCAATCCCCAGGCCTGCCAGCCCCGCCCCTGGGACACACTGAGATGGCAATTGAGACTGGGCATGGTGGTGCACACCTGTAATCCCAGCTCTTGGGAGGCTGTAAACAGGCAGATCACTAGGAGTCTGAGCTAGTAGTGAGACCCTGGACACCCTGTAGACCCTTCCTTAAAATACAGGAAAAAAAAAAAAAATTCTGGATTGTGAAGGAAGTGTGTTTAAATGTACGAAATCACATTAAATGTAAACACCTTTAAAATATGTTGAGCTGTGCCATTAACCCCTGGTCTACCTGAGAAGAGCCCTTAAAAGCCCAGGGCCCTTGTCTAGTGAGCACTTGCTCTCAGCCTGGCGCTTCTGGTGGTCAGCAGGGCTCTAACCTGTCTTAGGTTTCTAGCACTGCCACCTCCATCCCTGGGGAACTGTTCCACTCTTCAACAGAGTAGGATCCTCTTGTGCCTTCCTATATATTGCTGTTCCCAAATATTAAATGTGGAAAACTATTGCATTTAAGGTACTAACCAGAGGATAACAAAATGAAAAAAATGTACCGTGTTGGATCTCACCTTTGATCACTCAGTGACATTATCTTCCAAGCCTGGGAAGACACTAATGACAGGTGCCACTCTAGGCAGATCCCAGACAATGGGGCTAAAAGCCTTTACTATTTGTGATAGTAGTTCCCTTCCTTAACTAGGTTGGTTCCTTTCACAATGCTTTGATTTGCTAAAACCCTAAAATGCTTGGTATTCAAATCATTTTGCCTAGAAGCAGCTAGATTGTAAAATAAAAATTAAAAAAAAAAGTCTTCCAGTGACCAGAAAAGTTTAAAAATATCAAGGAATTTGGGCTGAGCAGAAAAGAAAATCAGACAGATCAGTTTCTAAAATGAAGTCAAGATTGGGGAATGTCTGTCTTTTATCTTGATAGAGGCCAGCGTGGTGAAGGGGGCAACACTATGAGGGAAGGAGGCGAGAAGGGCAGCAGGAGGGGCGCTCGCCTGCTCACTGCAGGGTGGATGGGATCTTTTCCCTTTTCAAATAACTCATCATTTTTGGTCTTGCTTGGGACAGAGTCACACTGTAGTTCAAACAGGCTGGCCTGGAACTCAGCATGTAGCCCAGGCTGGCCTCAAGCTCATAGTGATTCTCCTGCTGCAGCCTCCCAAGTGCTGGGAGTCCAGGTGGCACCACCACTCCTGGCTGATTATTGTTTTTGTAAACCAAATTATTTCATCCTCTTTATCATGTAGCTACTGTATTTTACAAGTGCCTGCAATTTCTAAGAAGGCAGACTGTATCATTTGGGGCAAAGTTGTTGCTTACAAATTAAGAGTAGACTAATAGTCCTAAACATCTTTCTAAAAAGTGATTCAAATAACTATGTATTTCAGATAGACATGCACTATTACATTTTTAAAACAAGATTTTATTAATTTTTAGGAAGAGTCCACAGTCCATATAGGTCATATGTTGAAAGAAAACCACCACCTTGTTGAACTACACATGTGCAAGCATGGTATAAAAAACTATGGCTTCCAGCAGTTATGTAATGCGCTCTATGTTAATAGCAGCCTACGCTATCTTGATGTCAGCTGGTGAGTGATAGTTTACGTATTAACAATTCACAAGTTTTGAGGACAGTCCATTTAACTCTTCACAGTGTATGACAGACTTTGTTGGATATACTTCCAATGATTAGAAAATGCAACTATTGTTGCCAATCATTTAGCCTAAACCTTAATAATTAGTAATTTAGTTTACAAAGAGTTGTGTATTTTAATAACTTGAATGCACAATTTTGTTATGTTAACCAGAAGGAGAACAGTATTTCATGATGAATTTTTATTAACTTTCTTGGATAGTGAGTGAACTAAAATAGAAAGTACTATTTATTATGTTTTCAAATATCACTGTGAATAAAAGAACAATATTTTGTATTTTCACATATTACTAAATATTTTTCCTTTCCCAGCAATAAAATAACTCGTGATGGGATGGTGTATTTGGCTGATGTACTGAAAACCAACGCCACCCTGGAAGTGATAGATATTTCTTTTAACAGAATAGAAAATGCAGGCGCCAACTGTCTCAGCGAATCTCTTACTTCACACAACAGGAGTCTTAAAGCGTTAGTATGGTTTTATATTTAATCAAATAACAGAAAAAGTTAAAATTTTATAATACTAATCTCAAGCCTTTTCATCTTTTTTTTTTTTTTTTTTTTTAGGTACTGGGGATTGAACTCAGGACCCTGTGCTTGCCAGACAAGCACTTATTCTACTGAGCTATCTCCCTGGCCCCATTTTTTTATCCTTTAGATTAAGACAAAATGGGCTGGTGAGGTGGCTCAGTGGTGTAAAGCACCTACTTAGAACAAGCTTAGCAAAGCACAGGGACCACGGTTCAATCCCCCAGCACCACATGCCAGCCAGCCCCGCCCCCTGGGGCTGTGAAAATTTGGTTCCTAAACCTCATTTTGTTATAGTAAACATTTAATTTCTATTTTCCCAAAATAAATGGTTTAACATTTTGACTTTAATTCTAGTTACGATTGTTCAAGTTCCTAAGAAAAATTCTTACTGCTTACATTGTTTATCCAGAATTCTAACAGAAAAAAATCACAAACATTCAACAGGATGCAAGCTGAGATTTGTAATCTAACCATTTACTGAATAAGGTAACATAAAAGGGCTGTCACTGCACCTCCCTTTGTGGGTCCGTCGCCAATGGCACTGCTACTTTCTGGCTTTTCAGACTGTCCATAGTCAGCAACAGCATAGAAGGAGAGGGGCTGGTGGCGCTTGCGCAGTCGATGCACGAAAATCCTGCACTCTCTCACATCTACATTTGGGGAAACAAATTTGATGAGGCTACGTGTGTGGTAAGTTTTGTTTTGTTTTCTCCTTCACTGAAGGCCTTTTCTGGGATCTTCTCTATAGCATCAGGCATTATTTACAGATGCTTTGAAAGAAGTACAAAGTATGAGATACTATAGTTTTTAATAGTGTTTACTTTAAGTCCTATACTATAAGGTTTCATGGTTGAAATAACAAAATGTACCAAATACCATAAAATAGCATAAGGGATCTGGAATTACAGATCTAATTTCTCAAAGGTAAACAAAATCACAGTTGTTGGTTTGATGTTAGACAATTTCCAGTCTGCTCCCAAATATTTATATCATCATAATTAAAAAGTACAGGGTGTTAAAACATTTGGTATATTGATCATATAAATACTGAGAGCTCTTTATAGTAACTTCAAATAAAAAGGACAGTGAAAAAAATAGATGTTAAAATCTGCAAAATGTGCAACAGGGCAAATTCCATCAAAAAACAGGATAGTAAAATATATATATATATTATGGTTTAAAAATATTGATAATTTTAGACATTCCTTTTAGTGAGTCTACATACTAGCAGCTATGTATTTTAATTCTGTAACTAATGACAACACACAGAGCAAGATGAATTTTTTAAAAATCGAATTATCCATTTCTGTCCCTCTTCTTGTAATTTATTTGGTACAGGGTCTTGCTATGCAGCTCTCGTGGACTCTTAGTGATCCTCCTGTCTCAGCTTCCCCAGTGCTGAGATTGCAGGGGTGCACCACTATGCCTGGGCTGGCATGGCATGCAGTACCAGGGATCAAATCCAACTTCTTGCACTTGCCAGGCAGGACGTTAGACCTCAGAGCTATCTCCTCAGCCCCCCTCCTTTTATAATTATTTGACAAAACAGTTTCACACTTATATCATTTTCCCCCCTTTTGAGACAGGGTATCACTATGCCATTCAGACTGGTCTTGAACTCACTTTGTAGCTGAGGCTGGCCCTGAACTTCTGCCTTAGTCCTCTGAGTGCTGCGATTACAGGCATGTACCACCACGCCCAGATTTTATATCTAATCTTATGGCCAGCATCTAATACGATGAAATTGTCTTTCTGAGCCTACATCTATAATTATCTTCAGAGAGTTTATAAACTCCAGACAAATTTTATGCCCAAATCTGGAGTTCTTTTTCTTTCTCTGAGGAATAATTAGTCCCTAGCTATCACCAGGTTTTTTTAAAGCATGTATAGTAGCCTTTCCTCCTGCCCAACACACCACCACTTAAGAATACCTTCAGGAAATGAAAATTTTGACCATGGGAACTTTGGTCCACAAAACCAGCAGTATTAAAAATTAACTCAAGGAATCATAAAATGATAACACACACCTTATATACTATAAAAATTCAGAAATAAACTTTGCAGTATTATAATTTCAATGTGAGTATAAGTAAGAATCAGCCAGGTGTGGTGGTACACACCTGTAATCCAAGCACTTGGAAGGGTGAGGCCAGGCTGGGCTACATAGTTCAAGACCAGCCTGACCTACACAGCAAGACCCTGTCACAAAAAGAAAGTAAAACAAATAATAGAACTCTGCTTACAATACCTAGAAAATATTAAATTTCAGCAGTTATCCAAAATTTTTTCAATAATGTAGTACCACAGCTGAGTACATTTGTTTAAGTACTGTAAATTGAATAAATTATATTCTTAATGATACTAGTTTTCCTTAAAAATCCTAGGCATATTCAGACTTAATTAAAAAGGGTCGCTTGAAACCAGAAAACACAGATGTGGAGCCATGTGTGGTGGATGGACATGTGTATCTTGCGGAAGTCTCCAATGGCCTTAAGAAGCATTATTACTGGACCCCAACTTATGGAGATGTTTATGGGCACTCCACAAATGCAGGGTTCGCTCTTGTTCCAGTAGGCCAAACCTTATGAAAAACAAGCTGTAATTTTCACATACTGTCTTACTTTTCAGAGATTAGATATATAGCCTTTCTTGTTTTTTTAAATTAGAACAAGTTATTTTTATGAAATACTTTGTGTAGCTGTGCACTGTGGAAAAACTGTAATTTGTGTAAGAAATTTTACAATATAAAGACTAAAAAAACTTAACCCTAAAGATGCCAGGGAACTGCCTGAGTTCTTTTTATAATGAAAATATAGCCAAGTAGTCTAAAAATATACAAATAAAAATCACGATAGAAAACTGAAAGTTGTTATGAAGGTGGTAGAAAGGCTTCAGGTAGTAAATTCGCAGGGAATGTTATTAAGCAGTTTCAAAAGTTCAGGTTTAAAAAAAAAAAGGTTCAGACACTGAACGTTTTCTACATGTCCTATTTAGATGTTACGGTCAGGAACTAACAACATGTTCAACAGGTTCACGTGAACAAACATAAACCTGTGTGTGTCCAGTTGCAAAAGAAGTCAGTGCTGCCAGCTCTCCCACCTCCTCAGAGACAGCCACCATCTTGACTTCCAATACTAGTTTTGCCTATTTTTGAACTGCACATAAATAAAATCAGTGTATAATTTTTTTGTATCTCACTTCTTTTGCTCAACACTGTTAGTGTAATTCACTCCTGTTATTTAATGTAGCAGTGGCCATTGAGTTTTCATTGCTTTGAAGTATTCATCATACAGCAGGTAGTAGAAGAGAGATGTCTTTTAATCTAAGACACAATCACATTAAAGTAAACCTTGGGCTTGGGGGATAGCTCAGTAGAGTAAGTGTTTGCCTGGCAAGTGCAGGGTCCTGAGTTCAATCCCAGGTACCGCAAAGAAAAATAAAAAAAGTAAAACGCACAAAGCTCATTATCTCAGACTGTGTCTAATTGCGGTGTACTATGGACCCACCCATGAGTTGCCATGCTCTTGGGAGGAGACAGCCAAAGAGCAAAGCTCAACGGGACCTGAGGGAGGGCCTGTTACAAATCTGTAACCTGACCTACACTGGACAGCCTGAGACAGAGCTGCAGGTGTAAAGTGTCAGAGAACTTTCCACACCTGTAAGAACTAAAGTGCAGTTGGGTCAGCCAAGAACTTAAGGTCTGACCAGCAAAGACCTGACAGCATCACTTATATGCCTGGAGAATGAAGAGTTCAAGTAGCTTCTTGCATTATGTCATGTGAGCCCTCTCCACAGGTCTGAACACCATCTGAGAGATAGAGGGGCAAATACATTTTCTCAGAAGATTAAGCATTATCTTAGATTCCTTCAGATACTATAAATTATATCTTTATAGTGGAGTAGGCTTTGAACTGGCTAAGACTAAGTTAATTTTCTAGATTACCATTATATAATGGCTCAGGAAGAACATGTAAGTTCTGTAAGAAAACGCCATTTCCTTTGCCTATCTGAATTACAATAAGTCTGCAGCCATATTCTGTAATATTCTTTCATTTTTCCCTCTTAGCAATCATCCTTTGAGATCCAGCTCGCATATAGCCTGTTAAGAGTACACTGTCACACATCTTACATACATTTTCAAATTTGAAAACAAAAATCAGCCCAGTTCCACCAAAAGGAAAAAAAAAAAAAAAGCGGCATATACTTTAAAAATATTTGATGAATGACTGTTTACTTAACACATTCTCATTTTCAAACTATTCAGTCTTAGTATCTGCTACTGAAACCACAGTAGAAACAGCTGGTTCCTCCTGGCACTGTTACATTGTGGAGGATAAGCATGCTCCAGTTACCCAACCTAATGTCTTAGCTTTACATCTTTTCTCCGGACCATGCCGTCACTAGAAAGCCTTTGTCTTTGAAAAACCTACTCCACTCTGGCTTTCTTTCAATCTTTATCATCACTCTTCATCTTCTTTGTTCGCCCTTCAAATGCACGTCCCTCAAGATTCTGTCCTCATCACTTCTCCTGTGCCACCTCCCAGGTTGCCTTAATCATGGATGGGGGCTGGGGATCTACTTCTCTAGCTCTGCTTCTGCATTTCAGGCCTTATTTCTATCCGCGGCCAGACACTTCCACACGTATCTCACTATCAGTCAAATGCTGTGCAACCAAAAGTAGCTTCCCGCTCAAAACCTGCGCGTTTACCTACCTTTTCACAGATGATGGCATTACCATTTTCTCAGTCACCAAGAATCAAAACTCGTCAACCTGAGTGCTAGGATCAGATGTGGCACACACCTAGTTCCAGCACTCGGGAGGCTGAGGCAGGAGGATCACTGCAAGTTTGAGGCCAGCCTGGGGCACATAGTGAGTTCAAGGCCATCCTGGACTACAATAGTGAGTCTCAGTCTAAAATCCTGTTTAGTTTGGGACTGTGTGAGTGCATGGAACAAAAATTGACATAAGCCTATTTAAGAAAAGGGGACTAAAAACCTGGGTGTGGTGGCACTTGGCTCTTCAGCCTGTAAGAATGAAATATCTTCTAAATGGTTGCTATGACTTGGTCCCCAGAGAAAATTATAATCAAAGAAATCAGTATCAATAAACACATTAACTTTATTACAGGAATAGTTTAAAAGTTAGAAACAAATAAGCACAATGTATGGCAGAAATAAGAAATAATGTCACAATGACGTTTAATGAGCATTGTGGGAGATGCTTATGTGAAACTGGTAATCTAAAGACCAAAGATCAGGCAGTGAAATAAATTAGTATGTTGAAAACCTGGGATGGAGAAGAGTGTAGCAAGCATCAGGCTACTACTAATTTTCCTTCACTTGGAAAAGGACTGCTGTGAGACTATGACAACCAAAAGCTGTGGCTTACTTTATAAAATTTAAAAACCCAAAGTTTATAGAAAACTCAAATATAAAATATTTACTAAACTAGCTTTCTGATAATTCAGAATGCTAACTTACAATTGAAGTTAGATTTTTTTTTTTTCTTTTTTTCTGTTTTTGTGGTGCTGGGGATCAAACCCAGGGCCTCAAACATGCTAGATAAGTTTCTTAACTATTAATATACTGTATCAAATTTAGAAGCCAAGTGATTTCTAGTTTGTACTGAATTTGTATCTAAAAATTTTTTTATAATTTAATATTTATCTTTTAAAAGTGCATAATAGGCATAAGAGGCTTATCAAAAATTTTCAAAACTTGGTATATATTCCCCATTCCAATAATCTACAAACTTAATAAAATATAAACTGAATCAAAATTTGAAACTCTTTTGACTAGATAAAAACATCAAATATCTATTTAAAATTTATTCTGAAAATACAGTCTCAACTCAAACCAAAAATACTGACTTCACTGACCATTGTTTTTTCCAGAATGCTGAGTTCTAAATGAACAAAGATGTATATACAGTTCTCTAATTCTTAAGAGAAACATAGCTTTTGGTTTCATTACAAAAGTTACCTTCTAGGTAACATGTTAAAGTAATAGCACAGTTCTTATTTATAGCTAACTTTTCATAGACATGAGTATGAAATTTCATTTTTCTATGGTCTGTGGAGCTTACAAATAATACTTTGGGCTGATACTATCTACTATCATGGATGATTTATTAAAGAGGAAAATAAAAAATACTGCTGGTGAAAAAAGACACACATACTGACAGTTTATATTTCAGTAAATGAAGGGCAATCGTAAAATGCAAAAAAAAGGAATTAAGGCAGTTTTAAAAAAGAGTAAAAGTGCTGGATGTAGTGGCCCAGCCTGTGATCCCAGCACTCGGGAGGCTGAGGCAGGAAGATCACTGAGAGTATGAGGCCAGCCTGGGCTACACAGTGAATTTAAGGCCAGCCTGAATTACAGAGCGAGACCGTCTCAAAATAACCCTAAAAAGAAAATAAATAAAAGAGAATAAAAATTATCCATCCAAAATAGTGCTGCAATGGTATATTCTTTCTTAAAAGCTATGTGTATATTGTAGACATAAAAACCAAAACCCAAAACAAACAATTACAGTAATGATGCAGCATCCGGTGCTTTTACTTCAGTGAATCAAAGTAATAGGCACGACCCAAGCGAATGGAAACCATGTGAACATGTGCACCTTCTCAGACACATGTACGCTCACTACCAGAGACGTCTTAGCAATTCCACACTGCTCACAACCATCAGTACAGTTGTTGTAAAAAAATCAACTGTGGTTCTGAATACCCATTCACAGTGGACCTCAGCAATGTATCCGATGTAGGAGACTGATGGCCTGTGACAGGCAGGAGCATGTGGTGGTCCTCAGCCCCCAGAGGAAGAGCTAGAGGTAGAGTCACATCAGCAGGCTTCACGTCCAGAGTTTCTGACAAAGGACTCTTTTGTATGGAATCCTGTTCACTCAAAGTGTGATCCTCTGCACTGGACTCTAGAGATTTATCTGCACCTGAAGAGGAAAAAAATTGTACTATCTTTAAAAACAAAAGTAAACAAGATGCTTGAGGTATACTAACCTACATATCTTTCCCAGAAATCACATTCCAACCTCCAAGGCCTTAGGGAAACTGACTCTTTGACTCCTAGGCCTGCTTTATTATCTAAAAGCTCAATCTGGGTTTCAAGAGTAGGTTTAGGCACCAACTCCTTTATAAAAAGGGACTTAACTGGTCTGCACTAAGGTGAGCTTTTTAAGCCTACTTAATTGCACTGTTCGTAAGTCTCAGGACGCTACTGCTACAGAGGTGTCTGTGTCTCTGCTGATTAACATTCTAGTCAGGTAAGAACTCTGAGACAGCAAAATCCTTGGGGGTAAATGCTAAGTTGTACTTCCCTACCTCCCCTCAGAGCACTGAAGAGAAATTCACTAAGCTCTAGCTGTTCATTTAGGAGGCTGAGGCAGAAGGATCACTCTTTTTTTTTGGCAGAACTAGGGATTATACTCAGGCCTTCGCGCTTGCCAGGGAAGCACTTACTCCACTGAGCCATCTCCCGGGCCCGTCCGGCTATTCACTGAATGTCTTACTGACTCACACTACTCTTGAGCTCAGATGTATGCACTTTCATACATCCTCATAAGTAAAAAGTCTGAACTCCAGGGATCCATTACTGCTGACTGAATGGCAGCAATTTTGCCCTGCACTTTCCTACTAGCTTTAACATGCTCCCGGTGCTTCCAGGCATTGGTAGGATTTGTCTCACTGTCCTCTTAAAATGAAAATGCAAATTTGCTTTCAGAAAACTGTAATTTTCTGTATTTTTCCCAGACTACAGTTCACCAGTCACGAATATAACCTGTGCTTTCCTGTTCTACTGACTGTCCTGTCCGCAAGCCCAGTCACAGTGTCCTCTGCCCGCCATCATTTTCAGCCTTTAACTCTTCCACGTTCCCTAAAATTAAGACTTTTTCTGTTATCTCAGGAAAAACAAAAAACAAACCTCAGTATCTTCTTCAGCACTTTTGTCTTTGCTACATTTTCTACTTATTTAGATTTCTGGTCTCAGTTGTAATTGTAAGCCCTTTCTGCTACTATGTTTTGCTTACTTTATATTCCCTGTAGTTACACACACCTCACAGTACTTCATACATAGTTGTTGAAATAATGACAACTGCAGTGGAAGATTTCTAACTTGATCTTTACAGTATTTGTTTGTTAGAAGACATTTATCTATCATCTTTACATACTAAAGAAGCCTATCATGACAGAAAAAATGGTAAGCAAAGTAATTCTTCAATGATTCATTTTAAGCAACATGCTTAATATTTTGTAGTATGGCTTCCCACTTTTACATACTGTTACAATGGAGCTGCCGTTGTCTGTTTCCTCATATTCTAGACTGGTCTTCAAGACAACCTTTTATTGTTATTGTTTGTTTTCTGTTTTTTGAGAAGGGGTCTTGTCTTAGTCATTCTGGCTGTTCTTGAAATCACTACATAGCCCAGGTTGGCCTTGAACTTGCAGCAATCTTCTTTCCTCAGCTTCCCACATGCTGGGATTATGGGCGTGTACCACCATGCCTTGTGATAACCCCTTTTTTGTTGTTTTTACAGCAATCACAGTCAATCCTGGGTTACCCAGAGACTACTTTGGGGAATACTAATATTTAACTGGCTTCTTTCATTGTTAAATCCTGACAAGTCAAGGTTTTAAAGTGAGAAGTATTTCAAGCTTGTTTTAAAATCAGAAACAATATGAAAAGAAACAGAGAAACACTTTAATGAAAATTATAAAGCTATTTCCTCATGTTCCTCTACTTTTAAAAAATAGTTTTTCCGTTGCCATCATGAATGACACAGTAACTATCCGAACCCGGAAATTCATGACCAACCGGCTTCTTCAAAGGAAACAAATGGTCATTGATGTCCTTCACCCTGGGAAAGCAACAGTACCTAAGACAGAAATTCGGGAAAAACTCGCCAAGATGTACAAGACCACACCAGATGTCATTTTTGTGTTTGGATTCAGAACCCATTTTGGTGGTGGCAAGACGACTGGCTTTGGCATGATTTATGACTCCCTGGATTATGCGAAGAAAAATGAGCCCAAACACAGACTTGCAAGACACGGCCTGTATGAGAAGAAAAAGACCTCAAGAAAGCAGCAGAAGGAACGCAAGAACAGAATGAAGAAAGTCAGGGGCACCACAAAGGCTAACGTTGGTGCTGGCAAAAAGTGAGCTGGAGATTGGAGAACAGCCGAAGGAGTAGATTCTGCAGTGCGTGTCTGCAGTGACTGCGACTTTGTTCACGAGAGGATTTAATAAACTGTAAAACCTTCAAAAAAAAAAAAGTTTTTTTTTTTTTTTTTTTTGGAGGTACCAGGGATTGAACTCAGGACCTTTCACTTGCTAGGCAGGTGCTTACGCCACTGAGCTATATCCCCGGCTAGGTGACTAGTTTAAACAGACATTTACCTGAATGGACTTTTGTTTTGTGCTTCTTTAAATTTTTAATATCTGTGTAAGAATTTCCACATAATTCGCAGATAAATGGTCTTTCTCCTGAAAAACATGTTAAAAAGTTAAAAAGTCCACATTTTCAAAACTTCTAAATATAAATATTCATAAATATAAGGCAAAGTTATTATATGGTTTAAATTTGGTTTCAAACTACCATTTTAATTACTTGGTTATAACATAGTAAAATGAGAAAGTCTACACATAGGCACTGCTTTATAGAAAATATAACCCTGTATCAGGGGAAATTGAGCATTTTCATTATCTTCAATTTTGTGCAAACTCAAGAATAACCTAGTGTTTTCATTCTGTGAGATATTTACCAGGTGTCAACTATATGCCAAATACTGGCTAAGAGACAGACTGTTAGAGGGAAAAAAATTTAATTATGGTTTCTGCTCTCAGGTGCCTCCAAATTAGAAGACCCCAAAGATTGGGCCAGGGAGACAGCTCAGTAGAAAAAGTGCTTCACCTGGAAAGTGCAAGGGTCTGAGTTCAATCCCCGGTTCCGCCAAAAAAAAAAAAGAAGACCCCAAAGAAATACTGACAACACTCTTAACATAATTCCTTTGAAATAAATACTACTTGGTGCTTTACACCATCAAGCAGGGGGCAAGAGAGAACAGAGCAGTGATGGTGAACCTGTTAGAGCTTCCAATGACAAACAGTGGTACAGCATGTGCCACAGGGGCACGCCCAGAAGCTGCCCGCACATCTACTAAATCCCTACCAGTATTCACACTTATCTAGGCAGAAGTTATGAGGAAGAACTTTTAAAAAGAAAAAGAACAATATACTTTTTGAAACTGCATTTTTCTTGGTTTTCATTCTTTATATACAGTATTTCTTCAAACAACTTCACACTACTTTTTAACAAACATCAATGTTAAAATTCATTTGTAACTGCAGACAAAAACTGTTTAATAAAATCTGACGTCATTTTGGTATTTCCTATTCTTTTTTTTTTTTCCCTCCTTTTCCTTTGTTGGTATATCTGTGCAATTTAGCCTAAATCATTGAAAAATTATTATATGACATATTTCTTGTAAATCTATACAGTTATTGACCAAATTCATTCACATTCCAAACTACTAAAAAATTAAAATAAAAAGGTCATATTTATACATTAAACTACTGCTCTATATAATTTATGACTAGGTACCATATATAGTCCACAATGGTTTAAAAGTTAAGGTTTACATGAAAAGAAATTAAGAGAGAACAAAAAATGATACGTTCTCCCTAAACACAGACCTGTATGGGATCGAAAGTGTTTGTTGAGCTCTCCTGAGGAAATAAAACTTTTCCCACAAATACCACATATGTATGGTTTTTCACCTAGATGGAAAATAAAAGATAGCGAAGTGGTATACTAGACCAATATATATAATACTTATCAATTACAAATAATCTAAAGTAAGCTATTCTCAAATATTAAAACCTCTCTGTTGGGATTTCAGAGGTGTTTTCAGCAATGAATCTTAAATGAATTATAAATTTTTTTTTTGAACTGTTCAGGCAACTTGATAATTTTATATACTAAAACTTTATTCCTGTTAATATCCCTTTAAGCAGAGAAGAGTTGGTCAGGGATTGTGATTTTTATGTGATTAAGAACATGTAAATCCAATCCTTATTTCAAATCTTGCTACGTATGTATTAAAAGAAAGTAATAGCACTTAATAAAAATTCTATTTAGAAACATACCCTACCAAAAAGGAAACCCTAACCAGTACAGTTTGCTTCAAAAACAGATAAGCTGCACTTGAGTTAACTGTTTCAGTTGCATATCTCAGAACGTCTCTGAACGCAAAGTCCTAAGAAGTCATGAAAACCCAAACTCATTCCCTACCTCTCCACTATACTATCCAAAGGCAATAAAATCTCAAGACGCTAAGGTAGTTTTCCAAAATCATATAAAAAAGGCCTCGAGCTATGTTATCAAAATCATCTCAGATTTTAATGAGTTATATAATAAAAAATTTCACCCACCTTTTATCTACAAAATATACCAGCTTTTATGTCTCATATTTATGTGACAACCATAAACACAGCTTCAAGAACTACAATCACATCCATCTAACTACAAAATCCACAATCTACCTTCTACATAGGCCTTCCCCTTTTTAGGTATCTATATTCTAACCTGTCTCTCCATGTTAAGCTCTTACCTGTATGTTTTCGAGAGTGAGTGATAAGAGAACTAGAAACAGCAAAAGCCTTCCCACAGGTATCACACACGTAAGGCTTTTCCCCCGTATGCCTACGGACGTGATAGGTCAGTGTACTGGCCTGGGCAAATCTCTGTCCACATCTATCACAAACATATGGCTTCTCTCCACTATGCTTCCTGTTAACAAACAGAAAATTATATTCTGGTAAGTAAAACATCTGAGAGGTCAATCCATGTAGCAAGTTTTCTCATGCAACATTTATTTCATTTCATCTTATTAGGCTAAGATTATGTATTTAGCTGGACATGGTAGCACACACCTGTAATCCAAGCACTCAGGAGCTGAGGCAGGAGGACTGCTGAGTTTGAGGCCAGCCTAGGCTACAAAGTGAGTTCAAGTACAGCCTGCATTACATAGGAAACCCCTGTCTTAAAAAAAACAAAAGACCCCTCCAAAAAAGAAAAAATAGACTATATATTTACAAATCAATCAAATGTTTTTTTCACTGAGAAAAATCTTTTAGTTATCACCAAAATATTAGTTCTGATCAGTACATCTTGATATGGTTGGAAGTGGGCTAATTCCACAATTATTTTTCTACTCCATTCACATTTAGTTGATATGGTTTGTGTGTATTTGTCTCCACAAAGCTTCATGTAATCTAAATTTCTAACAGTTTGTGACTAATTCATGCTCCACTGGCATTATGGGTGTAAATGCTGCTGGGATTATGGCTATGAGTACTCCTCCCAGCCTGGGGCCCAGAGCCTGAATGCAACTTAAGGGAGACAGACTTCCTCTCTGTAGCCACTGCTGCCACTACTACTCCCTTTGATCTCTGCTCTTTGCTGCTGCCATGAAAGGTTGTTCTCTGCCATGTGCCACTCTGCCTTGGAGCCAGCTGAGTATAGACTGAAACCTCTGCTGTGAGCTATTAAATAAAACTTTCCTTCCTTCATTTTGGGTGTTGGGTATTTGTACCAGTCATGAGATAAGAGTAACTTAGGCAGTTGTTAAAACTCCTCCCTCACACCACCAGTACCTCTTCCTCATCCTCTCCCATCTGACATCTTGCTTCTTACTGAGAAAAATTTAATCAGAAAAAATTTTCCACCTAGCGCATCTTTACCAATATTGTTTTGTTTTCCCTCTGGTTAACTATAATAGTTCACCTCGATCCACAGACTGCACTTGTAACATGAGATCCTACTCCATGATAGCGCGCCTACAATTTCCCCCTTACGCTCCTCATTCCTCTCCATCCCATGGATCATAGCATAAAAATAAACACACTGATTTATATATTCCATTTTAACGACAAAAAGATCTGTGACCTCATTTACCCTTTCATTTATCTAAGTTTCAGTCTATACAACTTGTTTCCATTTCTTCCTCTTCCTTACTGACCTCTTCTCTACTACCATCTCCTACCACGCCTTCTTCAAGAGCAATGGTGACCTCCCCGCTCCAAGTCAATAACCAGTTTTCACTGCCCTATTAGAACTTTACAGGGGCTGGTAAGATGGCTCAGTGGTCTAAAGCACCTACTTAGAACAAGCTTAGCAAAGCACAGGGACCACGGTTCAATCCCCCAGCACCACATGCCAGCCAGCCCCGCCCCTCGGTGGGCTGAGCTGGCCACACACACACACAAATAAATAAAAATTAAAAAAAAAAAAGAACTTTACAGGCGACCATGCCCTTGCTGGATCCATGCCTTTCCTTCACCTGGATTCCAGCCTAGCCCACTTTCCTCCCCTACTGGTTACTCCTCCTTCCTGGTTCCTCTGCTGGTTTTTACCCAATTTTCCTATCTCTTAAGAGTGCCTTGGGACTCGATCTATTTTCCATCTACATTCACTCACTTGGTGAACCCCTCCAGTGTTACAGCGCTAAATGCTATTTATACACATATACATTACAAGAGTATTGCCTTCAACTCGCATCAGTCCGACCTAGATAACCACTTGTCTATGGCACATCTCCGCTCAGATGTGTAACAGTCATCTGTTCAGAACCACATTCATAAACTCCTGCTCTCTGACTTAAAACTTCTCTACCCATAACCTTTCTCCATCTTAGTTAATAGTGACTCTATCCTTGGCCTACAAGCTTGAAACCATCTTTGACTTTCGTTCAAGCATCACATCCAAGCTGTCTGCAAATTCTGATAGTTCTACTGCTAAAATGTACACAGAATCTGACAACTGTATCTCCCTGCTGTCACCCTGGCCTGAACAAGCATTACTTTCACTTGGTTTTATCCATAGTTTCCGAACTCAGTCCCACAGTCTTTTCCTAACACAGTGTACCTCAGTACATGCTAGTTAGTTCTGGGAGGTGCAACAAGGACCCAAAATAACAAACACCAAGTAAACTGTTCTGGCTGAAAAGTGTGGCCAGTCATGAAGCAACTGACACCAACACATTCTAGCTTGCCCACTGAGGGCCAAAACAAAATTTTCACATCAAAATGCATTGAATACCAAGGGATGTTTGTATAGCAAATACCTATGTAATCTTAAAATGTAGGTAAAGTCATACCGTATTTCTCAATGTGAAGAGGAAAAGCTTTAAACGGGCTACAGAAACTTTAATTTCTAGTTTTCTCCCCATTTCCCTCTAACCACCATGGTGACTTCTTTGTGGCCCCTTTAATTGTGCTAAGAACACTGCGTAGTGCACTGATGGCAGGCTTTTTAAAGGCCAAGAGCCAAACTATAACCCCAAACCCACTTTTTTTTTTTGGTGGAACCAGGGATTAAACTCAGGCCCTTGTGCTTGTGCTTATTCTACTGAGCTATTCCCCTAGCAAAGCCACTTATTTATCGCAAAGTGCCAATACTGCAATTGAACCTGAGCACTGAGGTTTTAGTGTAGGAAAAAACCTCATACGTTAACATCTTCTGTCTTAAAGAAAAACACACTAACACATGTCCCACAGGCTCACAGCCACTGGTACAGCACAACCAGTCGGTACGCTATCATGAATTCTAAAATATAGTGCATTTATAAGATTAGGGTGATGAACTTAAAGCCAAACAGCTTATTTACCTTGCATGAATCTTGAGATTGCTAGAAGTTGCAAACTGTAAATTGCACACATCACATTTGTAGGGCTTTTCCTCACCATGATGCATGCGACTATGGAAGACAAGCTGGCATTTTTGAGCAAATCCTTTATCACATAATTCACATTTGTATGGCCTCTCACCTAAAGAAACAAATAAATAAAATTTTTATTAAGAAGGAAAAAAACTAGTTTAGTTGTTAAAGTCATAAAAATTTTCAAAAGTGTTCATCAACTGGCAACACTTTCCAGTTTGGCTGGGCAGGGGGTCCCGCACCTGTCATCCTAGCACTCAGGACGCTGGGATGGGCCTGCTCCAAGCTCCAGGCCTGCCTGAGCTGCACAGCAAGATGCTGACTGGGGATGTAGCTCGGGGCAGTGCCTGCCTGGCAAGCAGGAAGGTCTGGGCTTGACTCCTGGTACCCACTCCCAAAATAGGCTAACACAAGAAACAAGAAAAACAGTACTAACAGTACTTCTAAATATTCTGGTACTCAGAAAATGTTAAATGCTAACACCAGAAGCATATAAAAACTTACCTCCCAAAAAAACTCACCTATTGAAAGCACCAGTAGAAAAGAAATTTTGTTTAACTTATAATAGTGAGATCAATGAGAAAAATACAAAACTGCATCTAAAAAACTTCAAATCAAGGTATACCAATGGGTGCTCATATTTGAGGAAAGAATGTAAGTATAATTCTAATACACATGTTCAGAAGTCAACAAGTTTTAGGAAGCACATTGAAAGCAGTGTTGGTAATCCATGGAAATTGGCTAGAGTTAAAAATTTATTTTCTGTAAACAGATGTAATCTTTGTTCATTAAGTACTTAACGAGGTGGAACTAAGTATACACTTATTTTGAAAGAAAATGGTATAAGAAGCTGATGTTATTAAATACTAACCTCGTAAGTTTCCAACAGCATGACACTACTTTCATGAACAAAAGAACATGGTCATAAGTAATACTATATGAATATATACTCTATAAAAATATTATTTTAAGCTTGGAGTGCAGCTCAGTGGTAGTGTGCTTAACATGCACAAGGCCTTGGATTTAATTCCCAGCACACAGTCACACTATTAAAAAAAAAAAATTTATAGGGCCTACAAAATAGCTCAATGGAATAAGTGCCTGCTTTGGCAAGCACAGGGACCAGGGTTCAATCCCCAGTCCCCCATGACATGCCGGCCCCATCCTGGGAGCACACTGAGCCTGCTAGAGTCCAGGCGTGGTGGTAGAGTCCCAGCCTGATGGTGCATGCCCTGGGGAGACTGAAAATAGGATCACTATGAGTCCGACCTGCACAATGAGACCCTATACCAAATATATTAAAGACAAAAAAATAAATAAAATAATACCAATAAAAAGTATACCTCCTTGGGGGCTGGTGAGATGGCTCAGCGGTCTAAAGCACCTACTTAGAACAAGCTTAGCAAAGCACAGGGACCGCGGTTCAATGCCCCAGCACCACATGCCAGCCGGCCCCGCCCCCTGGTGGGCTGAGCTGGACACACACACACACACACACACACACACAAATAAAATTTAAAAAAAAAAAAAAGTATACCTCCCTACAAGCCAGTCTTACCTGTATGAGTTCTCACATGTGTTTTCAGCTGGTTACACTGTGTAAATGCCTTCCCACACAAGTGGCACACATAGGGTTTAACTCCCTTATGTATTCGCATATGCCTTCTCAAACTGCTAGCTTCGGAAAAGACTTTCCCACAGGTGTTACACACTGGCTTGGCCTTGGAGTACCTCTGGTCCAGCTCTTCCCCAGAGCTCTCCAGCTCATATGGACTTTTGATGCTGGCTATATTAGACATGGAGTGTTCTTTCAGAGCACAGTTTGGCTGGGATTTTCCACGTTTCCGTTTCACTGTAACGGTTTGCACAATATCTTGTGCTGGGAAAGTATTCTCTACAACTGACGTCAACTCAAGTTCTGAATTATCATTTCTTTGTGCAACTTGTTCGACTACAGGTGTGCACAATTTATTTGCATCTAGGAATAACTCAACAGATGCATTCTCTAAAATGTCACTGGGATACTGCATTGTTTTATTCTGCCCTGTTTTCTGGGAGTTAAAAGCTTTTTTCTTCTTTTTGCTTTGAGATGACTTCTTTGCTAAAGCCCCTTGTTTAGGATTTGCCTGAACCAAATCTGTAGAATCTTCGGATTTCTCCTGGCTGTTATAATCTCGTAGAGTAAGAAGACAAGTCTGTTGATTCAATTCAATGTTTCCAGTAATACTAGAAATCTCTGTAGAAGAGGGATTAGCAATAAAAGCAAAATCTTCCATCTTTATTTTACATTTAGTTACCACCTCTTCCACTTTGAGAAAGTCAGCAGCTTGATGAATTTCTTTAACATTCCAACTGCAAGGAAAAAAGGCTACATGACAGTATTCTGATCAAAGAAAAATTTTCTAAAATAGCACTATACATGTATTACAATATCTTTTAAAGCCCTAATAAAGCAGAATGCTGAAAAAGGTGTAACTTAACAAAGTATACAAAATTTAATTCATATAGTATGTTTAGGCAAAGACGTCACATTTTACAGAAGGGGGAATGATGAAACATTGGTAATTCACTGCTACCAGTGGACCACTAAAGAAAACTAAAATGTTAAATTTTTTGCCTTAAAAAAAGTCCCAGAACACAAAAATAACAGCAGCCTTTCTCTTATTTGGAGGCCTTTTCAGAAAGAAACCAATTTTTCTGGAAAAGCAACAGAGAAAGTATAATGGAAATTGTCTTCTTCTACCTTTCCCTGATCCTGTAAAGGGACTTTTAACTGGTTTATGAAATATTAACTCTGCATGTGAATTACCCAGAGACCTTGCTAAACAGAAATTCAAATTTGGTTAAGTCTGTGATGGGACTGAGATTCTAGTTTTTGTAACTGAAAATAAAACTTGTACTTTACCTGTCAAGATTTAAAGTTCCTGTGTAAATAAATTCCAACAATTTCTGAAATCCATCAGCCTTCACCTGACTCTGATCAAGAAACACATTGTTTTCAGAAGTGCTTCTGTAGATTGCACCAAAATACTCACTAAACGAGGCGAGCACATTCCTATGGGCCTTAAACTGGAATTCTCCAATCACTATGGTGCAGTCACAAAGAAAACCTGCTTCTCGCTGTTTGTTCAGTCTCTCTAAAAGGTGCTCACAGTGGTGTGAATACTGCATTTTGATATCAGGATGCAATTTTGCCCTTGATCTAAAAGACAAAAAGAAAGTAAATCAGCACCTGGAAGTTTCCACTACATGTTTACCTAAATAATTGTGGGGTAGGTAGAGAAAGGATAGAAAACTTAATGAAGAATAAGCTCTACGTTTAATCCTCTCTGAAAAGCCTTAAAATACTGGTTAAAAAATGCTGAAAGGGTAAGTCGGCTTCACTTGGCGCACTACCACAATCTTCTGGACGCACCAATAAATGACGGTGAATGTGAAACACTCCATGAGTTGCAAGTAGAGCTGCCAAATTCACTTTTATCAGCTGAACCCTCAAAGCTCAGGAGATACACATACGTACGTCAAGAAGGGGGAAAAGGACACTATTAAGAAATGAACCCTTGGGTCAGGCAGAAGGGCAAGCACAGTGAGCGTTTTTAAAAAACGATTCGAAAATCACACAAAGCTGTCAGTGTCGCCGTGCACTCCAGAGCGCTAGGAGGGTGCCCAGGAGACAGGGACTGCGCCAAGCCCAGGTTGTCCAAGGTGCTGTCACCCGCCCCGAAGGGGCCGTACCCTTCCGCTCCATTCTCTGCACGCGGGGCCGTATCCGCGAGTGACAACCCAGGCCAGCCCTCCTGCGTTTCTGCCGCCCAGTCCTCCGCCCCGCTCCCGCGAACTGCCACGGCTCAGGCTCTGCTCGGAGCCACCGCCGAGGCTGCTCCGATCAGGCCTCCACCGGCACCGCGACTCGCTCTCGAATTCTAAGAAGCCCGCCCTCGAGGGCCCCGGGCCTGCAGGGCGCGACGGTGGAGGGCAGCGGCCGGACACTCACCGATCGCCGCCCGGGGGAACAGTTTGTTCACCCTCTCTCCGCCATCTTGGGAGGACGTCACCGCGTCGCGCCCCGCCTCTCTCTTCTTCCTCCACTGTGGCGTCACGTCCGGCGCCGCGGTCTCCACAACGTGGACGGCTTCGGGGTTAGGGAGGTCCGGCGCCCGCTAGGGCCGACCCGCTGGCCCTCAGCGCTCCGCCTACGCTGCATACCAGGGGCCCGGGAACGGCCGGCGTCAGGCGCACGAGTCCTTAAGGCTCGTTCTCGGCGCTGCGTCCGTCTTCCTCCAGCCGGGCATTCCAGTCGGCCGAGCCAGGCAGCAGCGGCCGGACAGGGTTCCGGAGCGAGAACGGGCGGCGCGACCCCGTCGGCCACCGCAGGAGCCACACCGCGCTCTGCATGCTGGGGCTTGTAGTTCTGTCTTCTCCCATCATCCTCCCCTTCCTCGGGGCCCAGCCAGAGGAAACCGCTGCGTTGTGTACGCTGAGTCTCGGTCATGGGGGACGTTTGAGCTAGGGCCGATCACCATTTCCCCTTTACGTACCCGAAGCCTCTTGGGACGCCCTAGGTTTTGTTTTCGCCAGCCAACTGTAATTCGGCATGCAGGATGCCCTTACCTGGTAATCGAAGTCGGAGACGCAGGAAAGCAGAGCTAAGCAGTAGGGCGCCCTGGGCATGCGCAACATTAGAGGAAGGTGGGCTTTATACCGGAAAAGGTTTTCCTGTGCCTGGACTAGAGTAATTTTAATAAAATTATTTACATCCAATTTGGATTTTGTACATTAGGGAGAAAGATACCAGTTGTCTATAGTATAAAAAGTATGAAATTAAATATTGCTGATGGATTTTGGATATTCTTCCCTAGTATTCTTGAACATCATAAGGTTCGGAAAACCACAATTTAAAGCTTTGTTTCCGTGTTAAAAGTATGTGTCAGAACCTTAGGGGGACTTACCCGTGACTTTATTCTGAAAGGCAGTTTCAACTTGGATTTCTCTTGTAAGGGTTTTTTCCCCCCTATCAGATTCGCAGTAAATTAATGTCTAAATTCAATGCAAGAATGGTTTTTATGCCTAAAAATCAGCCATTATGTTCTTTAAAGTTTTTTGAGACGGGTTTTCTTATTTCAGCTTTCAAGTCTCTGAGTATAATTTTCGTTCCGATTCCTTTTTTTTTTTTTTTTTGTCAGAGTTTTTCAGTGATTCAGAAATGTACAAGCTTGACATGACACTAAACTGACCTAACGAAGAGAGGCGACAAGGCTACCTTCACTTTTATACTATGATCATCCCTTCTAAATTTTGCGGTTTTTGAACATTAGAATAGTTGATTGTGGAATTCAGTTTGTGGCACTTCTGCAACTCAAGCCTACATCTGCATTTGGTGAAGCATAAAGTATTATCCAAAGTTAGAGTCCGCTGGGTTAGTCTAGTATTTTGAAAGAACAGCCCATGTAATCTTAATCTTGTAGCACAGCTGCTTCAAAAGTTTGTTTCCGCCCGGTTTCGAACCGGGGACCTTTCGCGTGTTAGGCGAACGTGATAACCACTACACTACGGAAACTTGTTGGGAGGTAGCTTTCAAAAAGACCTTGATATGTATACATATGCTAACATTTAGTTCACAAAACTAATGTAATTTTTAAGACTAACAGACAACATGAAAAATATGTCAATTACACCTCGCTGAAACTAAGTTTTCAGTTGAGAGAGTTTTATTGCAAAGGTCCTGGTAACTACCAAAGAAGTCAGGCGCCGCTGGCTCCGCGGGGGCGGGGTCTCGAGGACATGGGGCGGGGCTTCGAGCTTGGACACCGCCCATCCGCGCCCAGCCGAGCCCCGGGCCTTAAACTCAGCCTTGGAGGAGGTGTGTCAGTTCTTTTCTTAATTCAATTTTCAGTGCTTCTGAAGACTAGAGTTCTCACTTGTGTACTTCCTTCAAACACCTCCTAAAGATTGTTCAAAACCGAGACATGCAGGCACTTTTTCTGAACTTGAACTTCGTTTGACCTAAGTACCCTGCCTTTTCCTGCAGAGAAGGGTGGACACGCACATCCTCCAGCCTGGAAATCCAAGGACGGAGTTAGGAATTCAGAGATTGTTATGCGTCTGAAGTGACGTTGTGTTGTTTGGGTTTTTAAAAATAATTGTTGAGGATTTTCATTAGCACAGTTTACATTCGCGGTGCGGAGCTGGTCTATAACCCATCTCCATCTCTTTCTCCCCTTTCTCCTCCTCTCCATCCTTTGGTCCCTTTGCCTTTTTGTTGTAATTACGTAATTTTTAGAAACCACAGGCGGAGCATATAGTACTCTCCAGGACACAGAAACAGTGATAAAAGTGTCCAAAACTCATTTTACATCCCAGAATTGCTCCTTTTTCCTCTTTTTTAGCAGCCGCCCCAGCGGCCCGGTTACCCAGGCCTGGGGCCCGGGGCAGCGCCGGCCAGCTCCTGGTGCGCCCGGCTGCCCCTCCTGCGAGAGCCGGGTCCCCAGCCCGCGAGCTCGGCTCGGGGCTCTGTGACGCGCGTCGGCCGGGCGCCCGCGGAGCCGGAGCGGGGAGCGCGGCAGGGCGGCCTGGGGGCGGCGGCATGAGCGCCCTCCAGCGCCCGGTGGTGCTCGACTGCGGCTCGGCGGTGGTCAGGGCGGGCCTGGCGGGCGGCCGCGAGCCCCGCTTCGTCTACCCGAACATCGTCGGCCGGGCCAAGGGCCGCCTGGCGGCCGAGGGCGCGCGGGAGCTGTGGGTGGGCGACCAGGCGCAGGAGAGGAGGAGCGCGCTGTCCATCAGGTAGGGAGCGCCCCGCCGCGTCCTGCCCGGAGCCGCGCAGCGGGCGGGAGCCGGGGCCGGCGGGCGGGGCTGCGGGGTCGGCGCGGGGCTCTCGGCACCGAAGTCCGCAGGCAGCGCCGCCTGTTCCCGGTAGCTGCACAGACATTCAGGTGTGCGAAGTGGGTGAGGCGCGAGTTCAAGAGGTTACATAAGTAATCGCGCTTTTGTCACTTTGGGTTTTCCTTTCAGTGGATCGATGTCTAAACTATACTACAATGTGGGAAATCCCCCATTTTTTTAAACTCACCGGGGGGAGGGGAAAGCAATAAATAATTGCAGAAGAAGGTAGACGTACCCCTGTGCGGGCACTTGCCTTCTTCTCCGAGCGGCTTTGGCCTAAAAAATGGTACTGATACTATGAAAATTAGCAGATTTTGGAGAAGGTAAGTTAGAAAATTTAAAGGCTGCCGTTTATCTCCTTGCTCTCCCTCCAGCTATCCTGTGGAGCGCGGTCTCATCACTTGCTGGGACGACATGGAAACTATGTGGAAACACATCTACGACAATAACCTGAAAATAAGCTCCAGGGAGAGCCCAGTCTTGGTTACTGAGCCAGCCCTGAACCCGCTGGCCGACCGGCGACAGACCACGGAGGTGTTTTTTGAGCATCTGGGTGTCCCTGCTTTCTATATGTCCACCCAGGCTTTGCTGGCTCTCTTTGCCGCCGGCTTCACTACTGGCTTGGTGCTGAATTCGGGTGCGGGGCTCACCCAGTGCGTGCCAGTCTTTGAGGGCTACTGTCTGCCACATGGTGTACAGCAACTACACCTGGCAGGCCTTGACCTCACCAACTACCTCAAGATGCTGCTGAAGGACCATGGGATCCTGCTGCTTAGTAGTGCAGACAGAAAGACTGTTGAAGACATTAAGGAGACCGCTTGTTATGTGGCAGTGAACTACGAAGAGGAAATCGTCAAGAAACCCGATTGCCTAGAGAAAGTTTATAAGCTGCCCGATGGGCAGATCATCAGGCTGCACGACCAGCTCTTCCGCTGTCCAGAGGCCCTCTTCTCTCCGTGTCTCATGAACATTACCACCCCTGGCATCGATAAGATGTGCTTCAGCGCCGCGATGAAATGCGACACAGATGTGAGGAATTCTTTCTTCTCCAACATTATCCTCGCAGGGGGATCGACTGCCTTCCCTGGCTTGGACAAGCGGCTGGTTAAAGATATGGCAAAGATGGTGCCCCCTAACATCCCTGTGCAGGTGATAGCTCCCCCAGAAAGGAAGTTGTCCGCGTGGGTGGGAGGTTCCATTCTGGCTTCCCTGTCTGCCTTCCAGGATATGTGGATCACTGCTGCAGAATTTAAAGAGGTTGGCCCCAACATAGTCCACCAAAGATGCTTCTGAAATACAGATAGAGTGGTTAGAAGAAAACCCTGTGAGCATATGGGATGAAGTTTTGGATGCTGTGTTCGCGGCAGAACAAAAAATATTTCATTTACTGGGATGTTCATGTCTCTGTTGTATTTCTGTAATGGAAATAATCATGCGGATAGTAATAATGTTCAAACAAGGAAGGTTTACTGAGTAGAATCGAGATAAATGCTGTAGGAAGCATTAGTCTTTACCTTGGAAAGCTTATATTTCTCTTGGAGAAGGCGCCATATGTGGTACCGTAAGCTATGTGCCCAATGAGTGATGACTTCAGTTTGTTGGCGTTTAGGGAAAGAAGGCAGCGGTGGTGTGGAAAGTCTGTGTAGCAGGCATGATGGAAAGGGTGGCATTAGGGTGAGAGGGGGAGACGGTCCCTGTCCACACAGGCAGAATGAGCTGAGCAGAGAGCCTGAGCAGAGGAAGGATAAAGCATTCCCAGGCTCATTTAATTCGTGAAATGAGGTGTTCTCGTGGAGCAGAGTAAGGCTCTGACCAGGAAAGTAAATTGAGGTCTAGAACGGAAAGGCTTTTTTCCTTTGGGTAAAGGAAAGCAACTATAGATTTAAAAAGCAGCAGACAAATGAAATTAGGTTAAGATGCATGGGGTGGTAGTTTGGCGAATGAATTTGACTGGGAAGTCCCCAGAGATTCAGTAATCAGAAAGTTATAGTTCAGATGTAAAGTAGCTGCCTCCTGTGTGCCAAATTATAGGCAATAGGGATCGAGAAGAAATTACAAAAACTGACAAGACGTGGTGCGCCGTTAGACAGACATGAAGGGCAAGATGGGTATGACACACAGATTAGCAACCCAATTTTATAGATGAAATTTGTCTTTAAAATGTTTAAACTTCTTTAAATCACGCAGTAGGTGGCGGAGTCTGAACCTAAACATTTCTTTTGCTCCTAATTCAGATGGAGAGGTACTCCATTAGGTTTAAATTCTAGCTGTCCCTCAAATATTGCCCCCAAGTTGTAGCTCACAGAAAGACTTCTTTGCTTTTCTCACCTGAAATTGAAACGTGCTTATAAAGTTAGAGCATTTAGCTGGGTGTGGTGGCACGTGCCTGTGATCCCAGGACATAGGAGGCTAAGGCAGGAGGATCACCATATTTGAGGATCACTGTAAGTTTGAGGTTGATCTGGGATACATAGTTTAAGGCCAACTTGAACTGCATGGCAAGACCTTATCTCAAAAAAGAGTAAACTGCCGGGAAGATGGCTCAGTGGCATAAGAACTTCCCTGGCAAGTTCAAGGGCCTGAGTTCAATTCCCCCGCTCTGAAAAAAAAAAAAAAAAAAAAAAAAAAAAAAAAAAAAAAAAAAAAGAGCAAACAAACAAACCCCAAAATATTAAATTATAAAATTTATATCTTCAGTTCAGATACTGCCTCCTCCATGGCACTGAGGTGGTCCTTGGTGCTTTCAGTCACATTCTGGTGCTTCTGTTGACCACTTTGGTATTTAAGAGATGACCTGAGTAGCTGAGAGAAGGGTGAAGTACCAGCATTGTCCTGGCTGATACACTGTGTCAACTTATGAAGTTTAGAAGTATAATTAAGTGACTTAGCAGAGAGCCAGGCTTCTTAGTTTGTGAACATCCTCATCCTGGGCAAGAGGAGGGCATGGACATTGTGTGAGGTCTACACCTCCCGCCCAGGGTAGCTAGTTTATAATGTCAGGAGGGGAGAGAGGCTGGCTAGAAGCTGCAGCTTCTGCCCTTCCTTTAGCTCTTTGCTGTTTTCTGCTGCCATGAACTGCTGCTCTCTGCCATGTGCCACTCTGCCTGGGAGCCAGGTATAGACTAAAACCTCCACGAACTGTGAGTTACATAAACCTTTCCTTCCTTCATTTTGGGTGTTGGGTACTTTGTCCCAGCAATCAGTAAAAAGTAACTGAGACAAGCATCTAATCCAGACTATTTAGTATCTGCTGTATGGAAAAAAATACTGCGCTGAGTGCCATGAGTATTAAATTAGACATTAGATCTCCTACTTAAGAGACAAAACGGGGGGGGGGGGCTGGTGAGATGGCTCAGTGGTCTAAAGCACCTATTTAGAACAAGCTTAGCAAAGCACAGGGACCGCGGTTCAATCCCCCAGCACCATATGCCAGCCAGCCCCGCCCCCTGGTGGGCTGAGCTGGCCACACACACAAATAAAAATTTTAAAAAACGGGGTGGGGGGGGTTGGCCTGCCCCTTAGCTGTTCTTTAAGTGGCTGCTTCAACAAAGCCATCAGGCTCAGGTTGCTGTGGTTCGATCCCCACAACTCAAGCCAGTCAAACTTGCCCTGAAGGCATTCGGAGCGAGAGAGAGAGAGAGAGAGAGAGAGAGAGAGAGAGAGAGAAAACCAGGTACCTCAGGATGTACTGCAGTCCCAGGTGCTCAGGAGGCTGAGGCAGAAGATTCACTTGAGTCTAAAGTTGAAGGCCAGCCTAGGCAATAGTGAAACTTCACCTCTTTTAAGTTAATAAAATGCCAGCAATCCAGTAAAAGAGGCAGAATTCATACTTATATTATAGTAATACATGGCATAAAGTGATTTGAGTATTCTAAGAAGAATAGAATATTCTGAGATTTCAATATCAGTTGAAAAAGCAAGGAAACTTTTCTGATAGCTATGTCTTTGGGGCAGTAGTTGAAGGATAGCTAGAATTTAAACCTAAGGGAGTAACTTCCTACCTAAATTAGGGGCAAATATATGTTAGGTTCAGACTCTGCCACTTACTGCCTGATTTAAGCAAGTCAGGTATTGTGAAGATAAATTTCCTCAGGAATAAAATACAGTTGCTAATTCTTATGTTTCATAGGGTCACTGAATTTCTATGAGATACTGTACATTTAAAGACACTTTAAAAATACAAAACTTTGGGAGGCTGAGGCAAGGGGATCACTTTGAGCTTGAGGCTAGCTCAGGCTACAATGTGAGTTCAAGGCCTGCTTGAAATATACAATGAGACCCTGTTTCCTAAAGACAAAATAAAACAATATATTACTTTTTGCTTCTAAAAATAGAGAATTTACAGGCACAGCTCCAATACTATCTCCTCCAGGGCATTAAAATGGTTCCTTTGTCTTGTCCTCTACATAGTTGGGGTTCCGCTGACCACTTAATTTATACAGCAATATGTTTTGGTTGGCTTCTCCCTCAGCAGACGTACTCTTAGAAGAGATTGTGGGATTTTCCTCTTTATTTCTGCCCTTTTCTCTGGGGCCTTCTTTTGCTGCACTCACAGTAGGGATGTGAATATATGGAATGGTCACAAATAGCTCAGGGGATTAAAGTGCCTGCAAGCAGGCAAAGAGACGGGGGATTGATCCCTGTGCTTGCCATACCTGCCCTGCTCCCCGGGCTGCCCTGAGACAGCAATTGAGACTGGGCATGGTGGTGCACGCCTGTATGTAATCCTAGCTCTTGGGAGGCTTTAAACAGGAGGATCACTATGAGTCCGATCTAGTAGTGAGACCCTGAACACCCTGCAGACCTTTCCCTAAAAAAAAAAAAAAAAAAAGAATGGCCAGCAAGTGTCACACACACACACACACACACACACACACACACACACACACACACACACAGAACTGGGGGCAAGATGTGGAGGGGTCAAATTGATGGCTGGGTCCAGAAAACAGGAAGTCGCTCAGCTTGGTGTGAGTCAAGCATGTGTGAGGAGGTGCAGTTCGTTTCCTGGCACACGTCTCGAATTTTAGCGATTTACCTAGATTGGGCAAGGAGTAGGAAATGATTCTGGGAGGGCAGCCTGAGCAGCCAGTGCACACACTGGCCAGTTTTGCGCACACAGTTTTACGGAGCAGATGCTAGCACTGTTTCACTGTATCATTCTTAAAACACTTTGTTATTTTCCAGAAAATGAGGCTAACCATACATGGTCTGATTTAAACTTCAACATCTCAGAGAGATAGGCAAGACATCTTAGTCCCATTTTACAAAGGAAGGAATTGAGATTTAAAGAGGTTAAGAGACAAAAAATTAAAGTGATCCCAAAGTAGCATGCTTGACTTCTCAGGAGCACAATCCTCAGTCTTGATCTCTCACGCAGTAAGCTGCTTAGCCAAGAGCTCTTCCAAGGACCACTGGTGCTCTTGTCCAGGTAAATTATGGAAAGGGAATAAAATGGGAAAATGTTACTTATATCCGACTGTCCTGGTCTTGTTATCTCATTCTTTTATTGGGAGGACCAATAGTAAGAATTCCTTAGAGTTCACCTCACCAAATGAGAGTAAAACTGTTTAAGATTAGTTGACCAGTTACATGGAAAATTTCATTACATTGACCATGATTGGAATGTACTGAGACTTACGATGGACAAGTTCTTTTTACTTTATCATGACACAGAATTATCTTAAAAGCCAATGGCTGAAAAGCCTTTCTTTCCTAATAAAAAGATTCAATTAGTAATATTAAGAGTGAAGTAGGCATGTCACCAGGAAGCTCTGTGTTTTTGTTTTTTTTTGGCGGAACCGGGGATTGAACTCAGGCCCTTACGCTTGCCAGGGAAGCACTTATTCCACTGAGCCATCTCCCAGGCCCCAGAAGCTCTGTATTGACAACAGTAAGAATCTGGCCCTCACTTTTTGGTCCTTGGTTCTTCTGTGCCCTTAATGAAAGACTACAGTCAAGATACATTGGCAGCTTGCAGGAGTATAGGTAGAAGTTGTTGTAAAGATATAGAGAGAATTACGTCTTGTAGGGGAAAGGCCGGCGGTGTTGCAAAGACATCAGTATCCAGGATGAATCTGTGCGCAAGAATTAGTGTAGTAATTGGATGCTTATTGGCATTTTTTCCCCGGATGTTGCTTCGGAATGTTGATATCTCGAAAATTTCTTCCTTTTTTTTTTGTGTGTGTGTTTGTTTGTTTTGGGTTTTTTTTTTGGTGGAACCGGGGATTGAACTCAGGCCCTTGTGCTTGCCAGGCAAGTGCTTATTCACTGAGCTATCTCCCCGGCCCGAAAATTTCTTCCTTGTTCTCCTTAGGTGCCCAG